GTGCTGAACTCACTCTTTCTTAGTAGTGCACTAAGGACCCAGCCCACTTAACTAAGCAGCTCCAGAATCAATCTTTGATGACAGGATCATAGGAGAGCACAACACAAATACGACACAAATGGACGACAACAAAATGACCTTGCAGACCTCAAAGATGCAGTACCTCATGAAGCCTATGAAAGGAACACAGAATCAGGCAGTTAAGCCATAATAATGACTCAACAGATGCTCAAAGGAAAATGGTAGGAATAAAAAAGACCAAGAGAATCTAGAAGTGGGCGATGGGGGTGGAGGGTTGCATACTAGAGCAAATAATTCTGGGGAAAAAAAATAAGAAAAAAAATGGTACTATGATTAGTCCTCTGACTTTCAATGCCAAGTAAAGACTATCCTATTATTCATCATGTATTTTTGTCAGAAAAATTAATGTCTCCCCACCCCTAAAATTGTCTCATAATTCTAAAAATGAATAGCTAGATAAAATTTATGTTTTTTTTTTATTTTAGAGAGAGACAGAGAGAGAGACTGCACAAGCAGGGGAGAGGGGCAAAGGGAAACAGAGAGAGAATCTTAAGCAGGCTCCCTGTGGAGCCTGAGGCGGGGCTCAGGACCCTGGGATCTCAGGACCCCTGGGACGCTAAGGGCTGTGTCCCATGCTGAGGGGCTGACACTGTGATTCTATGTCTTCTGAAGAGCCCAAGAATGCAGAACCAGAACCAGGGTAAATATAATGCAGACATTTCTGCTCAACATAACAGAAAACGTCAACAATTAAGTCGTCCAAAAAGCTGATGCATTGTTTCCACCACTGCAGGGGTCCAAACAGATAGAGCTAACTAAGTTCAGGCGAGTACAGGTGAGTACGGCGCTCCACTCTTCAGAGTCCACAGCTAATCAATGACCTTCGCCTTTCCTCCTATAGCTCCTTCACCCAAGGTCATTACTCAGGGACCTATTTACTCATGCAAATATTGACTGAGTCCTACTCTGTGGCAGGTACTGTTCTAAGAGCTAGAGATTTTTCAGTCAACACAAGGGAGAACACCTGTGCCCCTATGTTAATTGCATCAGGTTTTGAAAGTAACAAACACAAAGCTGGGAACTGGTCTGAGCAAGGGGTCTGGGAGAAGAATTGGGTTGGAATTTTACCGAGCGTGATGAAGACAGGCCTCCTGAAGGGTGGCATTTGAGAGGCCCCATCAACAGGAAATGATCCACGTGAGTGCTAGGAAAATTACATGTCATCCCAAGGCTGGATAATCAAGTGACCACTAGCCTAATCCATACACTTCTAGAGTCACTTCCCCCCAGTTGGCCTTAACAGCTGTGCACAAGCCGAAAGAAAGCAAGAGCCAGTGAGAGCCCCAAGTCTGGCCGGGCCCTCCTCGCATACCAGGAGCCAGGCTTTTCCTTCAAGGCCTCACCACGGGGTTCAACTCTCATCCATCAGCACCCAGCCAGCCATGGAGCTTCCAGAGATAACAAAGTCCCCACAGTCTTCTCTTTCATGCAAATCGCATGTTGCCCTGATTCTTAAAATCTCTACAGAGTGGGAGGGTTGAAAAGGTTTATTTCAGAGAACTGGCACCCAAAAGCTGCCACAATCGTTGGCACTCCAGGCTACAGGAAACATTTGGCAAGAAATATACTACTAAGGATACGGTGTAAATGTCAACAACCTGACCTCCAGAAAGAGCCGGCCCTGACAACACCTAGAAACTAAGGAGCTCTCATAAAAAGCCCCTGGGAGGCATACATACCCTTACAACTTAATGACTCCCCAGGTTCAACTAAAGCACAATCCAATGTGAAACTCACTGCCTTTTGGTTGGGAAGGTGCCCTGCAGCTGAGTGAAGGCCACCGGGAGACAGCCTAGCACTCGTCACCCTTCCTGGGGGCACTCAGACAGCCCAGTGCACAGAAAACCAGCAGAGAACGTTAGCATCTGATGGCCCACAAAAGGCTGTGGGCTTCCCCTACTCTGGGACCACGTTCTCGACCTCAGCGCCTGGGCAGCTAGCACACACGACAGGGAAATGGGGGACATGAAAGTAGGGTCCTCATCCCCTTCTCATGCCATTCCCAGGAAGCTCTGAGTTCATCCAAAGGAAAGGTCACTTGCGGAATGAGCTCCCCAGAAGCCTCCCTGCAGAAGGGATGGGGCCAGCCACAGCCTGCTCCTCCTTCATCGCTGCCTAGGTGGCGGGGGGTGGGGGGGACACCCCACCAGGGTTTCCTAGGAGGTCCTGCTGACCCATGCCTGCAGGGCAGCCACAGCCCTTAAGGGCCCCCCGCCTTTCACTCTCCCACTTGTCCAGGTTGGAGGCCAAAGCATATGGTTCCCCTGAGAGAGTGTGACTCCGCTCCTAGGGCAGAGTTTGCTGGGCTCCCAGTCTCATGGGACACGTACCTCTCCAAGTCCACCCGGCCTCAGGCCACAGTAGGTGCACACCCTTCCCCGTCTCTGCATGTGCAGCCGTGGCAAGGCCAGCAGCGCAGCCCGGGGAAGTGGAGCCCCACTGCCCGCGTGTCTGTCTCACAGCACGTTTCACAGCAGTGAGACTGAGCGCAAGTGCTTTCCCATCGTCCACGGGAACGAAAATGCGGATAAGAGGAATTGCTGAGTTACTATGTGTCATCAGTGAGTATCTGTCATGCTCAGAGCAGTGCCTGAAACCCGGCCAGTGCTCTACAAAGGCTGGCCAAGTAAGAAAACAAACACGCAGTCCTGCCGTCGAACAGGGAAGTGAACTGCTGGGGATGGGAAGGCACGGGAGGAGAGTCCTCCTCAACACAGGGTCTAGTCCCCTGCCGACCCCAGCACTGCCTGCCTGCCCAAGGACAAAGTCCCTGCCTGCTTCCAGCGGGTGCCGGCAAGGGAGAGAGTGTGCAGGGCCGCGAGTGAAGAACCCCCTTATCTAGGGGGCTGCAGGATCCACTGCGCCACAAGTGGAAAGAAGCCGGTTCAGGCAGAAAGAACAAAGGAACAAAGACAACCGGCTATGCCAGCTTGCAGCGGACTGTGACAGGCCAGCGAACGGTCCCCGCGATGGTCTGAGGTCTTACGGTGAAGAGACTCGGCCTCTCACCTATTTGGCAAGTGATGGATGCGGCCGGGGACCTCTAAAGCATCACAAGGTGCCCTGACAACAACCAAGTGGAGACGAGATCCAGGGCAGCCAACTGAAGATGAAAACATCCCGGGTATCTAGCTCATGTACCAAATTCCACGTGACGGGTTATACAACAACAACCACAACCTCTGCTGAATTCCTGAGAGAGACCACTCTCCCCCAGAGACAAAGCAGATGCTCAGGAGAGCCATCTGGTAAAATTGGGCTATACCACACCATCCTATTGCACACAAAAATTACCAATCTTCTCGATAGTTGAGTCTGTGAAAGCCTCAGCTTGGAGTCTGCTGCTTTCACTGCGGTCACAGCGCTGCCTTCAAGAGGTTTTCAACCTGTCAGACAGGAGTTGAACACTCTCTCGAGAGGAGACATTCCTAGGCAACCAAGCAGCCTGTTTGGGAAGCACCGGGTCCCTGAGGCGGCCCCGACTCCGTCCAGGGCACAGCACCTCACACACAACCACCTGGGAGGTAGAACCCATGGCGCGAGAGATCATTTCCTCAAGGGCTGATCTGAAAAGGAGGTTAGGAGGCCAGCCCTGCAGGCTCAAGTACGGATGCTCTGGTTTTGAGGGACAGCCTGGTCTCAGAGTCACGTCTCCGTCGTTCCGTCACGGAGGAGATGGGATTCCTAAGGCCTCCAAATCCTGAACAAACAGAAAGAATGCAAGCGCCGAGGCACTCACAGAAGTAGGAGATACCAAGCCAGGGGGCTATGAGGTACAAAAACAATAAGTCCGCCTGGGACAAGCAGCTTTTCCATCAACCTTCTTGGGAGAGTTCCCACCCCACGTTGCCTAAGAATTATTTTATAATCAATTCAGAAAACGAAGTCTTTTCCAGCACAGATCTCCAACTAGGACAGAGTTTTGACAACCCTCTAAAATGGAAAAGACAGAAAGAAGCCTAAGTTATTCATCGCCCATTTCCTTTGATGTCATTGACTGAATGCAAATTGCCTTCCGTAATCAGGCCGAATAGGGAGTCGGACAAACCCTAATTCAGACTCCTTACCCCAAAGTCCCATTAGGTCCCAATTTAAAGAACCCGCTTTAGCAAAAGGGGGAGGTCCCGGCCCCCATCAGAGGGTGCAACTTTCTAAGCAGGGTAGGGGGGTGAGGGGGAGGCACGGGGGCTTGAGTTTCCCTGGCGCTTCCACTCCAAGTCGCTTCCACAAGTTCCCGGGCCGGGCTCCAGCAAATCACGCCCACCACCCAAACTCTCCTTGGAATGCTTGTCTGGAATCTGAAGACCATGCGATTCATTTTCACAGGCAGGGATGTTTCCCGCCGCTACTTCCCTGGCACTGCCCTGACCTCCCACAACAAGTCCGCGGGTTCGCGCCTCCAGCCGCCAGCCCACTCCCACCTCCAAGGGCAAGCCCGCAGCCGCGACTCTGCGCCTGCGCCGCTCCCAGACCACCGCCCCTCCCCCCCCAACCGAAAGCCCCACTCGATCTCGGGGCCTCCTCCTCTAGGGAGGGGGAAGTACAATGCATAAAGGTCACTCCTGAGGCCTCCGGATCCCCTGGAGAAACTAGAGGAAGAACCCTGGAGCATGAGGCAGTGGGGGTGGGGAGGGGCAGGCGGTGTCGGGTGGGGATGGAAGGGGAAGGCAGAGAGAAGCAGAGCAGGGGGGAGGCCGGACGGGACCCTGTCACCAGGATCCCTACTTATTCAGCACCGGGGCTGACACGGGTCCGCTAGAAAGGCTGTGGTTCTCAGCCACTGGCCCTTTCGTGTTCTCCCAGACGGTCTTCCAGGGGGCGTCGAGGCGGCGCCCCGCGCCGGGCCGCAGGCATTGTCCAGGTTCCCCGAGCGCATCTGGGAGGCGCCCCGGCGGCGCGGCCCGCGCCTCGGCTCCTACCTCCACGAGCAGCCCGAGCAGCAGCGCCGCCGCCCTCCGGGGCTGGCGGCCCATGGCTCCGGGTCCTCTCCGGGTGTGCGCCGCTGCCGGGTCGGCAACGCGTCCTCCGTGGGGCGTGCGCCAGGACAGAGGGGGCGGCAGCCCCTGGCCGGCCCGCGGGACCTGGGGGCTCTGGGCGGCCGGAGGTCGCGCAGCCACAGCGCCGAGCGCAGCGCAGCTTCCTCCGCGCTCCGCCCCCTCCCCCCGGCTGGCGAGGGCGCGCACTGCCGCGCACGCGCACACTCCCCGCGCGCCCGCTGGGGCAGGGACCGCGGGCCCTGGGAGCCGAGCCGGGCAGGGGGCTCAGCTGAAAACGTGGAGCCTGCTTTGCCTTCTGTGTCTCCCTCCCTCTCTGCCCCTCCCGCACTAGGGCTCTGTCTCTGTCTCTCTCTCTCAAAAATAAGTAAACATCAAGAAATCTTTTTTAAATAAATAAAAATCGAAGTCAAAACGTTGTGATGCTTTCTTCCCAGTCTCCTATCTCTCCTGGGTGCCCTCTGCCTGGTTCTAGATGACCGGTGTATGCTTGGCAGGAACTGGTAATAGGGTGAGGGCTGGCCGGCCAGGCCGCTTCCCCGAGTGAAGAGGAGGGCACACGAATCTCTGAACAAGTCACAAGAGGAAGACAAGTCTAAGACAACCACTCTTAAAGAGGACAGGACTTGCTCTCATCTGTTGTTTGGGACAGGCCTACTCCCCTGCCCCTGATGAAGGAAGACCCCAGAACCTGGGCTTTTATGTCCTCAAAGGAAGCAAATACATGAGTGACTGGGCTTGGCCCAGAGTCCAATGGCAGAGCTCAGCTTTCCTCGCAGGGAGATGGCATGAATGATGGGCATGTAGTTCATGGATGCCACCCGTAGGTGTCTACACCACCTTTCGGCTGAGCACTCTCCTGGGCATTGGGGATAGTAGCGGTGAACGACATAGACACAGTAGCTACCCTCTAGGTTGAAGTGTGGACTTCAGTCCAGTGAGGGGCAATGGATAATTAGAAGGAAGACATTAAGGTGTGCATGTCAAATTAAAAGTCACCAGGAAGAAAAATAAATGATGTGCACTACTTAGGAGGTATGGCAGGTGCCACCGGAAATAAGAGAGGCAGGCCAGGCCTCTCTGGTAAATTGTCAGGAGCAGAGACCTAAAGGGAGGGAGAAAAACCGAAAAAGCCCTAAAATAGGAGCAGCCAGGGCCCAGGGAACTTTCACCTAGGATCAGTGCTGTGAGGCCATGTGCGCCTCTCGAGATGTGGTAGAACTTGAATTCAAAGACAAAATAGGACCCACAATCTGGGGCAGTTATTAGTTCAGGAAAACAACCCATTATCCACAATTGCCAGCCTATTATCTCTAAGTCAGACTTGCAGAAAATCAAACCACTATCTCTTACAGTCTAGAAAGCCAAACAATAACCCCTGTCACGTTGGCCCCAAATGGCTAGGGCTTGATTAGTAATTGACAGCTTTCATACATTTTGTCCCCACTTTCAATTTAGAATTAATCAGAGAAAAAGCCGCATCTACTCCCCTAACCAACCCCACAGCATGGCCCACTTCTAGTTACCTCACCTACACTTTCTCCACGACAACAGCCTCCAGTCAGGGCATCCTGGAAGCCTTCCCTTTAGTTCTACCTTCATGCTTTCCTATTCCGCTGCCTGCCTTTGAGTCTCTGTCCAATACGAGAGAGAGCGGCACACGCCCTTGATATACCAAGCTCTGAGTAAATAGCCTTTGCCTATGCTCATTTGCTTAGTCGTCATTTATTTCCCTTGTACACTGGAGGAGTCATTCCTTATAGAAGTAAAAGCAGTGAGGCACCTGGGTGGCTCAGTCGGTTAAACCTCCGACTTCATCTCAGGTCATGATCTCACAGTCCCTGGGTTCGAGCCCTGTGTCAGGCTCTGTACTAACAGCCAGCTCAGAGCCTGGAGCCTGTTTCAGATTCTGTATCTCCCTCTCTCTCTGACCCTCTCTTGCTCACATTGTCTCTCTCTCTCTTTGTCTCTCTGTCTTTCTCTCTCTCTCTAAGAAATAAATAAAACATTAAAAAAAAAAAAGAGTGGAATTACTCATGTCTTTCCCACAACTTCGATTACCTCCAGTTTTCTAATTTCCACTTTGAAACAAATAGACAGCAACTTGAGAATCTAAGCTCTAGGCTGGGGTGACCACCAGCATAAGTAATGGTCCTTACTTTCAACTTCGTAAGGAGACTAGTTGTTACTGAGGTGAGGATGCTGGACTAAAGGAAAGGGGAGGGGTTGACTCAGAAAAACCACTCAATACCCCAGAGTTGGTGTAAAGATGATTTTCATCTGAAGACATAGGAGATTCAACAGATGCCAAAAGAAGTCTTCTAGGAGCTTCTCTGATGTGACTCAAACCAGCGACTATTGGGAAATGAGATAAATTCTCTCTTTTGATTGGGTCTACTCATAGGAAGAAGATGGAGAATACATCTATCATAAATCCACTAAGGCTCATGGCCACGAAAAGATAGGAAAAGACCATTCACACCCGCAGAAACAAATCTTTCTTATCTCAATCCAAAACACCAGAAACAACAAGCATTGGCAAGGATATAGAGAAAAAGGAACACTTGCACACTGGGGATGAGAATGCGAATTGGTCTAGCCACTGTGGAAAACAGGATGGAGGTTCCTCAAGAAATACAATCAAACTACCATACAATCCAGAATCACACCCCTGGATACTTAATCTAAAAATGCAAAAGCACTAATTCAAAGGGATACATGCACCCCTATGTTTATTGTAGCATTATTCGGAATAGCTAAGCTATGGAGGCAGTCCAAGTATCCGTAGATAGAGGAATGGATACAGAAGAAGTGGTAGATATGAAATGGAATGCTATTTAGCCATAAAAAGAATGAAATACTGCCGTGTGCAACAACATGGACAGAGAAGAGAGTATAATGCAAAAGAAGTCAGGCAGAAAAAGACAAATACCCTATGATCTCACTCCCATGGAACTTCAGGAGAAAACAAACAAGCAAAAGAAAACAAGAGAAAGAAACAAACCAAGAACAGACTTTTCACGGTAGACAACGAACGAACTGAGGGTTAGCAGAGGGGAAGAGTGCATGGGAAGGCGGGGAGGAGAATGGATGAAATAGGTGATGGAGAGTACAGAACACACTTACCAGGATGAAAAACTAAAACAGCTTTCTTGAGAGAGAGACAGAGACAGAGAGAGAAAGAGAGAAAGCGTGCCTAAAGGAGGGAAGACAGAGAGAGACAGAGACCCAGAAACCAAAGCAGGCTCCAGGCTCAGGCTCCAGAACCAAAGCTGGAGGCTTAAGTGACTGAGCCACCCCCACTGCCCCATCCATTGTCTTTTTTTAAACAAGCCTATTTGTTCTTCCCAAAGAAGCTCTTTACCCCATTGCCTTTCTCCTACTAAATTAGATATGGAAGCCTCTAATGTTAGTCATATAGTAAGCTAAGTACTCTTTTGGTAAGTTCTTCTCTACATGTGAATAAATCTTTTTTCTTCCTGTTAACCTATGTTTTCAGTTTAATTTGCAAGTCCTCAAAAAATGCACCTAAGAGGATAGAGGAAAAGTCGTTTTTCTTTTGTTGCAGACGAAATGACACAAAGGACAAGACACACACAAAAGACAGACACAGACACAACTCCGGCTGGAGGAACATTTCTACGCAAGCCCCTCTTGCGGTTTATTTTATACCCCAGTAACTGGATACAAACTGAAATCTACAAGATGCATTCCTTTACCAATTAAGGGCAAGTAGCCAAACACATTTCAAGGACAGGGGGGAGCAAAGGGAGGAAGCGACCACAACATGTTTACTAAGAGGCCTGCTCACAATTCCAGCCTCCTCCTTATTTCTAAGGAGGGCATGTTCCCTCGTTTGCGAGCGGACCATTAAACTTGGATATTTTGTGCAGGCTTCCTGGCAGAGCACCCTGTTTGCAGGCATGCTTTGCCCAGGCAGGGAGCCCCGTGTGCAGGCACATCCCCACGTCCCTAACCAGGCTTTCTTGTGGTCACTGTCAGGCTCCCACATCTTTCCTAACATGGCTGATGCAAGAGAATGAGTGAATGAAAACCTGACAAAATTGGGGGAGAAATGGAAAAGTTTGGTGTTACAGAGTTAGTCAATCATCATAGATTTTAATAATCAGAATTTAAACAGCAGAACAATCATGGGAGCTTTGACACTCCATGGATTGGTTTTGCAAGGATAAACCTACTAGGTCTTTTTTTTTTATGTTTTTATGTTTATTTACTTTTGAGAGAGAGAGCAGGGGTGGGGCAGAGAGAGAGGGAGACAAAGAATCCAAAGCAGGCTCCAGGCTCTGAGCTGTCAGCACAGAGCCTGACACGGGGCTCAAACTCACAAGACATGAGATCACGGCCTGAGCTGAAGTCAGACGCTTAACACACTGAGCCACCCAAGCACCCCAACCCTACTAGATGTGAACAGGTCAAAATTCCACATAGTATGACTTTTTTCCTTATTCTTATAGTTAAGTTTTTTATTTTAATTCCAGTAGAGTTGACACACAGCACTATACCAGTTTCAGGTGCACAATAGAGTGATTTAACAATATGGCAATTTAACAATTGTATACATTACTCAGTGTCACCATGATAGGTGACCTCATTATTTCCCATTTCACCCATGCCCCACCCGCCTGCCCTCTGGTAACCATTACTTTATTCTTTATAGTTAAGAGTCTGTTCCTTGGTTTCTCTCTCTCTCTCTGCTCTCTTCTTTTGTTTTGTTTCTTAAATTGCACATATGAGTGAGATCATATGGTATTTGGTCTTTTTCCTGAGTGACTTGTTGCACTCAGCACTATACTCTCTAGCTCAAACCATGTCATTGCAAACGGCAATATTTCATTTTCTCTATGACTGAATAATAAAAGTTCCATTGTATATATGTATATATATCTTCTTTATTCATTCATCTATCAGTGGACACTTGGGCTGCTTCCCTATCTTGTTCATTGTAAATAAAGCTGCAAGAAATATAAGAGTGCATGTATCCCATTGAATTAGCGCTTTTGTATTTTGGAAGTGGGTATCAGTGGGACAGTTCCTGG